GCCGGGCGACATGAAGACTAAGATGGAGCTGCTGATCCTGGAGACCCAGGCCCAGGTGTGCCAGGCGCTGGCGCAGGTTGACGGGGGTGCTCGCTTCTCGGTGGACCGGTGGGAAAGAAAGGAAGGTGAGGATGTCGGCGCGTCGCGGGAGGTGGAGATGGGGAAAAGAGGTCGGGCTTTAGGTTGCAGGCGGAAAATGACTCAGAATAGGGCGTGGGAGTAAGACGCGGGTACCTGCTAGATTGAAAGGGACGTGGTTAAAAAGATGGACACTGAAAGGGTCTTCAAGCCCTCTTCTCGCAGGTGTGGAACCCGACCTGCTGTCACTCTAGTACCAGACATTTCAAAATCTTTGCAATTTTATGATGGTATTTTTCGTAGATCTCCGGGTTATTTTAGCCAACAAGTGTGGATGTCCAGATTTGTAACTGATCATAGATTTACCCCCACGTTTCATCTACTTCTCTAGGTACCTTTATATCTTCTCCTCCTTTGGAGACGTGTCAGTCAGACTCCTCCAGCTGAGGGTGTCATTATGTCATTTTCCCAAGTTAAACAACACATGTTTGATTGGCTTGTCAGTACTTCGACCAAATGCACCCACCAGATTTCCTGCCAGAAAAATCATTTCTTTCAATGGCAAATAACATCAGTATTACAACCCAGTTCTTATAGTCATATATTCATGACTATGTTATTACCTGTACAGTGAAACTTCATGTCTTGGTCATAAACTTGAAGGATTTCTTAATTTTCCTAGCTGGGAATAATAAGCAACTTCTCAACAGTCGATTTTGGGCTGTGATACTGCCACATTTATATTAAGTGAAGTTACCATATTTCCCCATGTATAAGACGCACCCTTTTTCAAAAAATTTGGGGTCTAAAAACTGGGTGCATCTTATACAGTGGTTGTAGCTAATGTTTGGGAGTTTTGACAGTGATGAGGAGTTGTATGAATTTTTTGATGAATAAAACTTGAGTTCAATAACTTCATGTAATACATTTTTTTTCAAACTTTGGGCCCCTACCTTAAGGTGCGTCTTATACATGGGAGCGTCTTATACATGGGGAAATACAGTAAATCTGGTTTTCATGGTGTTTTCCATCTTGTAATGTTTTTAAGTAGAGACCATTGTACCAGGACACAACCTCAAGTACTAGACTAGCTGTGTGACCTTCAGAAGTTACTTAACTGTTTTTGTGCCTCTGTTTCCTCATCTATGAAAAGAGATTAGAAATAATATATGAGGGTTTTGTAAGGATTAAATGAGATAAATGTATGTGATGTGTGTAAAATATTACCTGATGCGTAGAAAGCACTGAGATAGATTGTTTGGGTCACTTGCCAGTTGTGTATTCTTGGAAAAGGTGTTTGCTTTTCTGAGCCCCAGTTTTCTCATTTGAAACATACAGGAGTTGTACTGGATCATCTTATGTCCCATCCAGCTCTAAAAAGTCTTAGAAAGAAAACAAGCCAAACATAAGCCTTTATTTATGAAGCATTTGCTGTTGTGGTGACTCTAGTGTCTTAAAAAACAAGCAGACCAGCTACTAATAGTAAAGCTCATATATCTAATTGTTAACCTGTGTCTCACTCAGTTTAAGGTTCCGAATCCCTTAAGTGATCGAATATTTACTGTTTAATCGTCTGTAAACAAAATTAAAAAGTCCAACAGCACACTGAGAAAAAACAAATGAAACAACATGGAGCTCTTAAATTCTGTAACAATGGAACTCTCTTCAAACATACCCGTTCCTGTTTTTAGCCTTAGCTTTCTCTCACATGTAACTAACTAGTGGATGCCATTCTGAGCAGTAGTAGTATTTGAAGGGAAAATATTCCAATGATTTATTTTAGATGATGGCACAAAAATGTAGAAGAGCTCTGGAGTTTGGTGACATGGGGAGTATTTGCCTATGATCATTATTAAATGTCATAAAGCTAAGCTAGTTATCTGATTTTATTTTACTTATAAATATACTGATATTATGGAAGATTTAGAAAAACAGGAAGAAAATAACTCCTGATCCCACCACCTTTATGCAAGGGTTGTTTTCAGTTTTGCACTTTGTTTCCAATTTTACATTCTCTCCTAATTTTACATTTCTGTAAACAGGAGGTGGTGGCATCAGCTGTGTACTTCAAGATGGGCGTGTTTTTGAAAAGGCTGGGGTGAGCATTTCTGTCGTTCATGGAAATCTTTCTGAGGAAGCAGCAAAACAGATGAGAAGCAGAGGAAAAAATCTGAAGACTAAAGATGGTAAACCAGTCCCAAAAGCCTTTGAGAATCCCTGCAAACCGTTTTTTGTAAAATAAACATTGCTTCTGTAAAAAGCCATTTGGGTGCATATGCCAGATAAGCATGTTCATAATTACTTTTAAAAATTATGTTTTAAAAGACAAATTAAAAAGCAGATTTTGAAAATTGATCCAGAATCCATGTTGGAGTTAGTTTGTTTCAAGCCAGGTGACTGAGTGCAACTCACTAAGTGTTTCACTTTCCAGGTAAATTGCCGTTTTCTGCTATGGGTGTGAGCTCCGTCATCCACCCCAAGAATCCTCATGCTCCTACTATGCATTTCAACTACCGATACTTTGAAGTAGAAGAAGCTGATGGTAAGGGCCTCTGCGCTGTGGAAAGTTACCGTGCAAAATGTGTATTGAAAAAGAACAAATACAGTCGTAACTAGGCTTTTCAAGAGGCATATGAAGGTTTATTCCTTGGCAGGTACAATGGATTATGCACTGGACATAAAAAGTGAAGTGGTATTGGCTGGACTCTGACTGCCCCATATTTCCTCCAACACAGAGGAATGATTTAATGAACCCAAACTTAAAGAACACAGGGTTCTTTGCTAATATATACTCATTACACCCAAAGGACAACCTCATGTGTAAGGTTAAGTTGAAATTGAGGACTTGAAAATATCTTCCACCTGCATAGCTTTGCTGATCACATGTTCATTATCAGTGGGTTTAAGGTGGAGAGCATCTGATCATGCCTTATGCACATGTAGTTCCAGCCTGGGCCTTCCGTGAGCTTAGCCAGCTCTCTCAGTACCTCTGCAGCGCCACGCTTCTGCTGGTGTCTCTGCAGGTGAATATATTTAACTTTTCATTTTAAGCTACTTAGTTTGGCTCAACCTTTTAATGTTCAAAAGTTGGTAACTGGTATGGACAACCCACAGACCTAACTAAGCACGTGAAATAGTTATATAGTTATTTTCAAGTGATAAGTTGTCTCAGAATCTCCTAGGGTTTTTTTTTTCCCCCCCAAATCAACGATATAGATGCCTGGGCCAGAGATTTGCCTGTTTTCTTTTCTTTTTTTTTTTTTTTGGGCGGGAGGGGTGGGGGGCGCGGTTGTTTGGTTGGTTGGTTGTTTTTTTATGACCTAGCAGAGACATTTTAAGCGCCTCATGTGATTCTAATATTCAGTCAGCGTTGAGGGCCACTGCCGGGTTCACCTGTTTGGTGTTTAATCATCACTACCGCGCATGTCATTTCCCTGCCTGGTTCTACTCTCTTTTTAATTTCCTACTTCCGTTTATTTCTGATTTTACCTCTTCTTTCCTGCTCAGGCCTTACTGGCCGTTCAGAGCTAAATTAAATCGAATGGCTTTTGACTGTCACCCATTTCATGCTTAATAAAGTAAGCTGATAAATTAAGTTTGCAAATACAGTGAGTAGTGTGCTCCATCTCAAAACCCAGAGTCCACATCAGACTCACATGTCTTGATTTGGTAGGTAATAAGCAGTGGTGGTTTGGTGGTGGATGTGACCTTACTCCAACGTACTTGAACCAAGAGGATGCTGTCCATTTTCACAGAACTCTAAAGGAGGCTTGTGACCGGCATGGTCCAGATTTCTACCCCAAATTCAAAAAATGGTAGGTAAAGATATTGAACTTGTCACAATCCCCTAAAGTATATTCCATTCCTTTTGTAGATCCCTAAGGCAGCTACTATTCCACTAAATACGTTTTCATCTTATGAAGGTTGAGCTGTTTTCTTTGCCCACCAGAGGTGGGATACCAGTTTTAAGTGGTCTTCGTAATTTATTTACTTAGGAATATTTGAATATCAGTAATAAAAATTGGGTAGCAGCATCTTTTTTGATTCCAAATGATTTAGAATATAAACTTTAAGGTGATCTATGCCAAGAACCCAAGACTTTTTAATCCTAGGGTGGGATATTAAATTCTTATCCCAGATAAGAATTATCCCAGTTAAAAATTATTGTCTCATTGTTGCCATGTGTGAGGGCATAGGAAGGGTGGGAGAACTAAGAAGAGATGCAAATGTACCAGAGATTTTGACAAGGAGAAAGCTGGAATTGGAAGCTGTGAAAGAAACTCCAGTGGTAAAGAAAAAAAAAAAAAAAGTTGTGAAGAGACCCAGGATATTGGATAGATGTGAAATGGAGTCTAGGCATAAATTGTTTGGAATAAAGAGTGAAGTACTCAAACTGCTTAGAGCTAATTGGCATTCTTGAAAAAGGAAAAACAGAAAGCAGTTTTGTTTTTTTTCCTTTGCTTTTAGAGCTAGTAGTTATGGAAGCAATATTTTTATGTAAGCATGGAGTACAGCTTCAACATCTTCAGAAAAGATAAGACATTTGAATATTCCCCTTTTGATTTGACACTACCACTGAAAACTGACAGCCATAGATGCACAGATGTAAGATAAAGGATTTTTTGGGGGGTTTTTTTCCCCTCTCACAAATCAGCATTCTTCCAGGAGGACTGGTAGGATAGACATTAAAGGAAACCTTATTTTGGTTTCCTTCTTTTTGCCGTTACTAAGATGATCTTATCTAGATAACATTAGTTAATAAAAATGGGATGCAGTCTAGTTAAAAAGTTTTTAGTATAAGTATTTATCAAATCTCTTAATTTCATAATTTTATGAAGAGAGAGTTTGAGATAATGTGATTTGGTTAAAGCTGACTTCACAACTTTGCTTAAGATGTACTTTACTAATACAACGTACATGTAAAGGAAAGCCAACATGTCACACTTGAGGTGAATTATACCAGTGCCACAGTTCTGGGAATTTGCATCTGCTACCTTCTTTTGTTTAAGCTATTTTTAAGAAACTTTTAAGTAGCTTTCGGTTTTTGTTTGTACAGGTTTTTCTCTTTGGAGACCCTTATTCTATAGAGATCATCAAAAGAACCATTTCCACAATGTAAACTATTCTACGTTAACATTTAGGAAATGACTTCTTATGAAAGGTGCTCTAAGAGGCAAAGAAGGGGAAAGACTCAAGAACAGACTGGTGGTTTTACATGCTGGCTCACAAGGGTAACCTTTACTAGGTCGGAAGGCCCTTATGCTCTGAACATTTCCTTCCACCAGCCCTCCTTTCAGTCATGCATGCTATATCATCAAGTTTTATCGCTAAAAGAGACCTTAGAGATTATTTGCTGTATCTTCCGTTGGTGAATAAAGAACTGATTGAGAGCTCAAGGGTTGGCACCCAGTCGCCATGTTTGGTAGGTGTCATGGTTGGTAGAGGATTTCCATCCTGCCTCTTCAAAAGCAGCAGTGCTTCTGAGGGCAGCAGACTCAGTTGTTTCAAGAAATGCAGTGTTAATACCGGGCTCTTCGTTTCCCTTTTCACTAAAGGTCTTCAAGTGCCATATCCTCTAGATAGACATGTGTTCAATTGCCTACTTGCTTTGCAGATAAAAGTAAGAGCATTTTCTACATTGGTGCTAAATGTGGGAAATTCGTCTAAAGGCCTAGTTTTTTTTTTTCATAGTTGGAAAAAAAAAGTAAAGACACTGTGCTGGTATAGTCAAGGATAGCGCTCTAAGTTGAAACACTCACATTGCTTTTCATGCCTTCCCCCCCCCCCCCACCTTTGACCCCTGACTTGGCCTTGCTCTGTTTTCCAGGTGTGATGATTACTTTTTTATAGCCCATCGTGGAGAGCGGAGGGGCATTGGGGGCATCTTTTTTGATGATCTGGACTCTCCATCCAAGGAGGAGGTGTTCCAGTTTGTGCAGAGCTGCGCGCAGGCCATCGTTCCTTCTTATATTCCTCTTGTGAAAAAGCATTGTGATGACTCATTCACCCCCCAGGAGAAGCTGTGGCAGCAGCTCCGAAGAGGACGGTGAGTGAGGACCAGAGAATAAGCAGTGTTGCTGCATAACTGGGTGGGAGGTAGGCAGCTGTAGTAACAGTGGGTAGTGTGTTATCTTGGGCAGATACTTTGTCAGAGTTGTGTTAATACTCTAATTTCTTCTCATAACTAGATGACTATTAAATGAATAAAAAAGTTGTGTAAAATAGTATTTTGGGAAGAGCAAAGTTTATTTCATCTGTCTATACGTCAGATTCGTAGTAGGCATGTAGTAAGTACTTGGCGAATTTAATTCAGCTGATTTAGCCTTCAAGATACTGGGCATCATTTAATGTTTTTATTGTTTTGGAAATTTGGAATCACACCTTTTTTCATTCATCATTAAGCTTTCATGGAAGTTGCTATAATGAAAATAATCATTTTAGAAATTATTTACACTAATGATTATTTACACTTACTGTGTGCCAGCTAATATATCAGGCAGTTTGCATCTAATTTTCTCCAGAAACCTGTGAGATTGGTATAATCATTATCATTTTATAACTGGTAAAACTTCTCAGAAAGGTAAGTTCCTTGCCCAAGACTACACAGCTCGTAAATAAAAGATCCCAGGTGTGGAACCAGGTTATCATGACTTCAAAACTTGCAGTCTTTTCCATACATAAAGGAAGTGGTTGAATCAAGTTTATGTTTCTTATCATGATACTCCTGAATAATGCTACCCTACTGTGTGCATTGAGCTTGATGAGCTCAGTTCGGTGAACAGCAAAAGCTTTTCTTCCCCATATGCTGGATATACTTGTGAATCAGCTCCAAATTAGCCACTCTTCTGTCTCATGTGAGTTTCTTATTGCCATCTTAATTGCATGTATACTACTGGTCCATGGCAATAAAATGGATTTTCTCATGTGTGTTGATTCCCACTTTGGGTACTTCTGGAGGTAAGGCTAGTGTCATGAGAAGGTCAACTTAAGTAACATTACAAGTCTAAGGATACATGTTTGTGTTTATCCTTCCTGGCTCTGTTACCTGGTCCCCACTTACAAACTTGGGAAAATGAGAGCTGATTAACTTTTCTTCTTAGAAATTTCTTAAACAATGCATCTGTTTTGGGACTTCTTTTAAAAAAAGATTTTATTGGGGAATTGGGCGAGGGGAACAGCATTGGGGAATCTGGGAAGGGGAACAGACAAGTTGCTGTCATTCAGTCTAATTGTGGAGGACGTCGCTTCACTGGCCCATGTTGATATTGTGATCACTGTGCTCTTCCCGGGTGAGGCAGATTGGTCATGATAGCTTACGGCAGCCCAGCAGCCCACTACAGCCTACGCTGTTGCCCGTGACTCACAGCAGCCCAGCTCCAGGTTGAGCTGTTGTTCACCATCTTATCTGTAGAGGGCGCAGCGTCACTGGCCCTCATGTGGGATCCAAACCAGCGGCCCTGCTGCTCAGAGCTTGCACTTCCAAGCCGACTCTCAACCAATGCGCCACTTGGCCGGCCCTGTTTTGGGATGTTTTTCATGTTTGTTGTAGTTCAAATGGTTTCTCAAATATATCTTTACTTCTTCTTTCACTTGACATGTGCCCTGTATGACCAGGCACTATCCTGGCTACAAAGGTGAGAGTAACTTGGACCTGGGCAAACAAGCTCACAGTTTAGTGGGGAAGGTGTACTTAAGAGGATAATTAAAAAAAGGAAAAGAACTCTGTGGAAAATTATGATAATCTAGTTTTGCATATGATTTCATACACAAAGCTGGCAGGTTTTATGAATACTAATGAGGTGAAGCCTTTAGAACTTCTTGGACATGGGAATAATGTATTTTGGTGTGTTTTTTTTTTTCATTATTTAATGACAAGACATTTTGAAGTTCCAGTTGTGTATATCATTGAATGTCAGGTGTTTTTTGAGTTAGGTAGCTGTGTGGGGGGTTAGATTAATTTTCTGTGGTGTGGTGGGTGACTGTTCTTCAGGGAGAGCCTCCTTCTCACACCCTTATCTCTAGGCCTTAAGGTGGCAAGAAACTCTGGGGCTTAAGATAACCCCAGCTCTGCCCTGTGGTTATCAGCACTGTCTTCACTTTCTTACACCGCATTCCTAACCTGGTCTGTCTCCTTCACACATTAGTCTTCCCCACCTCCTCCTGCCCCAAACACGAGTGTCCCTTGCAGTGGTCAGAATGCTTCCCTTTTGGCTTTACAGCCTCTTATTTGCAGTCTCATTTAGTCTCTTGTTCTTGGTTACTATTAGTCTCTCCCCAGACCTTGAACTTCAGTTCAAGTCTTACAGCCTTTTACGTTTTTTATAGGAGAACAGAAACTAAAGACCTTTAACCTGTTGTTTTGTTGTATTTTGGGAAAGAAACAGGATAAAATTCAGGCGTCAGTTATATTGAAGGAAACGGTTAAGGTCCATAGCTTACAGGTACCTCACAGAAGATAAATGTATGGAAAGAATCAGAAAGATCAGATCTAAGCGAAACCCGGGAGTCAGAGAGGCTGAAATAGGAAAAGGGGCATCGTTCACTCAAAAAAGGAAAGCAGCACAGGGATCCTATAGAAAGCTTGTATAGGGAGCTCCTTCCAGTGGTCTTTGAAAACCAGTACAAACTAGAGAACCACAGCCGTTCCTTAAATACTGGGTTTCAGAAAGGTAATATCAGGGGTGGAAAGGGGGCTGAGAGACTGAAATTCTTTTCCATGGTCTTCGCGAGGAAGGAGTTAAGAAGATTCACTTTAAAGTGTCTTTTGAAACAGACATCAGAAGGTCTTAAATAGTTGTTAGTGTGTAAAATTCAATCAATGATAAACAAATGGTGAGGACTAGAAAAGGATTCATGGATATAATTTACTTAAATTTTCTTAGAGCTTTTGGCAAGTTTTCATACAGAAGGATGTTTTCTAAAATTTGAAGTACTTTGGAATTCTAGAGATTATTTTCCTTTACGAGTGATTAAAGACAGTAACCAGTGGATAAACAAGAATATCTGAGGGTAGTTTAGACCAAGAGAGTAGTTTCTGAATGAGTTGAGAAATGATCTGAAAGGGGGACTATTTATGGAAATTTTCAGATTTGTGGATCATTCTAAACTCTTGTGAATAGTAGACATTATCTTTTTGTGATTGCAGATAAGAGCCCCTTGTACAAAGGATCCCGTTATGTTAAAGGCAATCACAGATTTTTAAGCTAGACAGAGTTTAGATCTGACTCTGGAAGTTAATGGAAAACTAATACCCTAAACCAAGTTTCGGTTGATGCTAAGAAAATAAAACTGAGCGCTGCAACTCAGACACTACCTTTTATTATGATTGCCATTAATCTGCAGGAAGACTGAATTATATTACCACTATTAATGCTATTAGCTACTTTAAGAAAAGGGAATATCTACAATATATTAGTAAGCATTAATAGATTGCTGTTATCTGCATTTGGCCATTTAATTACTAGAGTTTTACCCTGTGTTAGTACGCGTGAGTTAAAGACAGTAAAATGAAGTCTTTGAAACATCTCAGACTATGGGGGAGGGCCAGAGGAGCTGTGTTATCCTGATAAAGGGTGCCATTTCTTTTTCATAATTGTGCCTTAAAAGTCTCAGCTTTGTGTTCATTCTGTTTATTTATCAGAAAACAACCTTTTATAACTGTTCTATGTTGGGCCGAATCTATATCCTATTGTTTTTTGGATAGAATACCCTTTTCTTTATGCCGGTCCAGATGGAGAAAACTCAACTGACTGTACACTGATGTTCCCCGTGCCAGTTCCAGCTGACAGCGTTTGTGGGTGGGAAGAAGCCCCCCTTTAAGTATGCATTACAGGCTAATCTTCAGAGATTTTACTCAGCTGGTCCTTAATGTTATGTGATGTCTTTATGTCAGGTACGTAGAATTTAACCTGCTGTATGATCGGGGTACGAAGTTTGGCCTCTTCACTCCAGGATCCAGGATCGAAAGCATCTTGATGTCTTTACCTCTAACTGCCCGGTAAGAATAGCTCCTCATAATAATTATTCCCCCACCCCTCAACCCCATAACTCCCACTAAACATGAGCGTTAACACCGCAAATGTCTTACCTAAAGATTTCACTGGTTTTGACCTTGCTGATTTTATAAGAAAATCACAATAAAATAATTAAGGAAAATCAAATTGGGTTTTGAAGGGGTGGCAGGATGAACGATATATGATAGCTTTGTGTGTGAGAGCAGGGAAAGAAAAGGGAGTGAGATGATAGGGCAGATGATAGTGTCCAGGGGACCAGATTGACCTTTCCTACTTGGCAGTTTTCTAGGAAGAGGTATGGGCAAAGCACATTTATCTGAACATCTCAGCTTTTTAAACTTAATTCTATTAGAAATTATTGGACTTGTGCGGAAATGTCTTACTCTCCTGTATGAACTATTAAGCTTGTTTGAGAGTATGAGGGATCATTTCAGGTGCTGGCACCCTCTCTGTGCTTTCCGTGCTGCTGTGGTGAGCTTCCACAAAGGTTAATTGAATCTGTGTGGGCAGTTTTAAAGATGGATATATTTATGTTGGTGTATTAGGTTAATAAAGATCTACAGTTGACTTTGTTGCTGTTAAGAAAGTGAGAATGATGTGTATCCAGACTGAAAAGGAAAAGTTCAGGGAAAAAACCCCCCAAAATTACCATTGCTTGTTTTATAGGAGCTAGAATCGTCTTTTCTCCATAAGTTTAAATGTCTAAATAGAAACAGACTATTAGTTGGCATTGATGGTCTGCCTTGCATCATTCAGCTGTCCAGATATCTAGTCTTGTGAGATCAGTACCTTCTACGGTTGTCACTGCCTTCTGAATGGCATTGGCACTCTCCTTGTTTAACTGTTGTTTGGGGGGATCTCATATCCTTGGCTTGAAGCTCACATATATCACTGTTAGGTGTTCCTGCCACTCTAGAGGCGACATGTGACTAAAAAGTAGAAATGAGTTCTTAAGGCCTCTGGTCGTCTACCTGATTGCTGCTGGTCTCTAATTATAACTCACATTCCAACCTGCAGATATGGGCAGATTGAAAATCACTCCCTTGCCCAACTGAGTAACATTAACGGAACAGATTACTTCTAGTTTCTTAGAGTCTGTACATACTAGGGGGTCTGCAAACTTAAGGCTATAGGACAAATCCAAGTCCACTGGTGGTGTGCTTTTGTACAGCCCTCGAGCTAAGAATGGATTTTATATTTTTAAAGGATTTATTAAAAAAGAATATGCAAGAGACCATATATAGCCCCACAAAACCTGAAGTATTTATTAGTGGCCCCGTATAGGAAAAGTTCACCAACCCCTGGTCTAAACCAGTGTTTTCCAGACTTCATACTGCAGCTTAACCATTTTGACCATATTTGTATATTATCTGAGGTATTATTTACTTTAATTTTGTACTCTCCCTTTTTCTGAGAGTTTATTTAAAAAGGCAAACCAATATTATTGCCATTAATAGAAAGTAGCACATTAAAATGTATACTATTAAGCTAAGAAAAGTTTGCCCAAAGATCATCTCAGGTTCTACACTTTACAAAACCCTGGTTTATAGTAAAAATGTATTTTGGCTCTGGGATATTAGTATTAGCCAAAGCATGCTGAGGAATTATTAAGAAATGTTATTTTTTTTAGCAGCAGATATTTTTTAAAAAGCCTACCTGGTAAAAGGCATATTAGGCACAGTGGAGACCAAGAAGCATAAGACATTTTTTACTCTCTTAGAATTTTATTTTTTATTTGTCTTAAGTAAAGAGGTAAGAGTGTCAATTATTTTTTTTTATTATTATATTTTTTGCTTCTGTTTTGGATCTGCATAGATGGGAGTACATGCATTCACCCTCAGAGAACTCCAAAGAAGCTGAAATTCTGGACGTCCTACGCCATCCAAGGGACTGGGTGCATTGATGCAGGCAGAACAGCCTTCCTGGGGTTTTGGGGACGCAATGTGTGCCCCATTCCCCTGGCTGGCTCTGTTGCCACTGTGTGGCAGTTAGCTACCTGTGCCTCAGAGCCCCAGTCTTCTCCATTCAGGAGTCTGCCTCCTTGGCAAGTAGTGAAATGTATTTTCAGCACCACCGGTTTTCATTGGATGTTATCCGTAACAGGTGATGAGATTGAGGCTTGTCATAGTCAACTGGTTGATTTAAAACTCATTTATACTTTTAGAATCATTTTATATGACTAGTTTATAAAATATGACATTGAATTTCCAAGTTAAGGGAATCTAATTATTATAATTTGTATCAAGAAACTCATGTTATTTTCGTATCTTTTTTTTTTCCCCCAAGTTTTAGTTTCTTCCAGAAAAAGCTATTGTGGAATAAATTTTATTTTCATTAATTCAATGAGGTTGAGCTTATTAATAATTTTAGAAAACCAACATGAAATGAAGGTAAAAGTTTTAATTTTTCATTTTGATATTTCTTTGATCATAATCTTTATGTGTCTTTCTCTAGAGATCATAATATTATAAAATATTCACTTTTTTGTGACAGGTATTTAGGAACACTTGAAAATTTCTTAATCTCTACATGTGTTACAATTCAGTGATTACCTATAGTTGTTAACTCTAAAGTGACATCATGGTTATTTAAATAAGGGACATCTAAGTTGCAACTTTAATTTTTGTAGAACTGTAATTTGTTAATGTTGGGATTCTCTGCTCTTATGAATGTGAAAGCTTATAACCTTAGACTCTGATATTTAAAATTTTATATTCCAGACATTTCTATATGGAAATTTAGACTAAAAACAATCCTGGCAATGTTATTAATTAAGGAAATGTTTCTCATTTGGGAAGTGATAAACATTTTCCTTCTTTAATTAAAGCAAACATAAATGTTGTAAGTGTGAGAAGCATGTCGATACTTCACAAATATTTTTTTCTTGTATGATGGACTAATTGAAATTGTCCTCTTTTTAAATTAGAGATTCTGTAACTCTTATATTTGCTTTTAAAAGAAAATCACAACAAAATTTTTAATATGGCTTCTTTGTTCACATAATAATATGAATGTATTTTATTCACAATTATATTGAAGTTTGTAAGGAATAGTATCTTCCTACATATTGTTAAGCATTATCTTGGAATATGTTGAAGGTATGTGACTGTTTGACCCTTTAGGGCTGGAAAATGTATGAATTCTTCAACTGTCTTACAACAGACAGTTTTTATCTGCGGTTAAATTTTATCATGAAATATGACTAAGAAGTGTTGGTATTTTTCTTTTTTTCCCCCAGGATAATCAATATAGGAAAGACAAATATTTCTTAGTACTAAGACTGTGGTTCCTCATTTTGAGGTATTTTACCGAAGAAAAACAATTTGCACTCCAATTTTCATAGCAGCATTATTCACAATAGCTAAAAATTAGAAATAACACAAATGCTGCCCATCAGCAGGTGAATGGATAAAGAAATTATGTTATATCCATAAGTTAAACCACTACTTAGGAGCAACTATTGATAAACGCAACAACGTGGATGAATATCAAAAAAGCATTATGCCAAAGGAAAGAAGCCAGACGCACAGAATACTCACTGTATGACCACATTATACGCAAACCTAGAAAAGTTCAAACTAACAACAGAAACAGATCAGTGGTTGCTAGGCGCTAGGACTGGGAAATTGGGAAAGGGGACAAAATAATATTTTGAGGTGATGGAAATGTTCCATGTATTGATTGTGGCAGTGGTTACCAGACTCTATACATTGATCAAAACTCATTGAACTTGACACTTAAAGTCATTCAATTTATTATATGTGTAATTTATACTCAGTGTTGATTAAATTAAAAACCCATAAAATAGGCATATAGGAATGAATGTTCAAATAAACCTCAGTTTACCTTTTACAATAAAAAGTCCTTTATCATATAGATCTGCTGGCATTTATCGTTGTGTTTTGGGCGCTTGGGGTCTGGGCATTGGACTAAGATAACATTTCAAAATTTTTCTGTGCAAATCAGTTTTTCATACCCTATAATCTTGTATTTCTCTTACAGATGAGACTGGTTGGGGAAAAAAATAACATAGAAAATAGATCATTTTGCTGTTATTCAAAGTAAATTTCTCTTTCAAATTCATCCTGGTGTCTATTCTGAGTCTACTAGAGGCCCAGAGTGTACCTCCAAATGGCCCGAATACCTAATTGCTGCATGTTAGTGGCCACAAGGAGTGGAAATTTGGGGGGAGGGATGTAAATGCTTTGGAGCAAATTTCTAACCACTGCTTTATGTCCATCCACCTATTCAACTCAGTATTCAATGAAAGAAAACACTTCTGCATGCCAAAGACTGAAGAACACCAGACTAGGCTAAATACTGTTTCTTTATGACTTATCCTTCTGTGTGTCTTTTGCTGTTAACAATTCATCAAAGCTGGAATCATCTGCAGGTTTGGGTTTATTTTAAGAAATTTTATTGGGGATCAGTGTGTTTTTCCAGGACCCATCAGCTCCAAGTCAAGTAGTTGTTTCAATCTAGTTGTGGAGGGTGCAGCTCCATGGCCCTTGTGGAAATTGAACCGGCAACCTTGGTGCTGTGAGCCTGCTCTCTAACCACCTGAGCTAACCAGCCGCCCCATCTGCAGGTTTTTTAGTCACATGTCGGTGCCTATGCTAGGATGACTTGAAGGCTAGGCTCAGCGTGGACTGGAGACTAGTGTCTACAGGCGGCTCAGAACTCATATCCTACCAAACAAGACAGAGGTACCATGGTGGCCTTCTGCTCTAGCCCCAGAGCTTATGAGGTGTCACTTCTTCCACAGTCCATTGGTTAAGTGAGTCACTAAGGCCAGCTGCAGAATCAAGCCAAAGGGAATGAGACCTTAACTATTGTCAAGGAGTATGTGGTCATCTTGAAAACCACCACATAGCCTTTTATACCCAAAACCACAAAATTGACTTGACTAAGCATCCCCGCTTCTGCTGCAGAAAAGATTCTGAACTCAACCCAACATTTAAAGCAATCCACCATTGACCCGACCTCTTTTCAGTCTTCTACAGTCCTCCCCTGCACTTCAGCCTCAGACTACACACTCACCATGGATCATATTTCTGAACATTTCCTGATTCCTTTCCATCTGGCCTTTGCGTGGGCTGCTACTGTTTCTGTTTGTAATCTCTTATGCGCCTACCCAACTTTCCATGCCAAAGAAGCCTGCCTTGGAATCTAGCTCTTCTACCCTGTCAGCACATTTTACCTTTAGTATTGTGCTCATCACAGTCTGTATTAATACAGTCATTCAGTGTACACTACACTTACTACAAAATATTTAAGGTTGGGCTTTCCTTATTTATAATGCCTGCTACCTGGTGAGTGACCTGTTAACCTTGATCTTCCAACACTGTTTTGCAATATATTGTGGTACCAAGTTTAGTATTGTTTGGCTTTCTATATGATTGTCTGATTCCTCGTCTGGGAAGACAAAAGTTCCCAGCATACAACTCTCTTTTTTAAAAATGTATTGGGGTGACATTGGTTAGTAAAATTACATAGGTTTCAAGTGTACAATTCTATAATACATCATCTATATGTTGCACTGTGTGTTCACCACCCAGAGCCAGCATACATCTCTTAAAAGCCCATCTAGAAATTGTTTTCAAGGATGTATTGTATTATCCCTGCCACAAGTAGTATGTATTTGAAATCCCACATTTAATAATTTGATCCTTCAAAAAATTTTTTTTAAATTTGATCCTTCTTCCCAAAGATACACACATGTAAAAATCATAATTTCACAATAAACCTAAGTTACCACATTTCAGTTAGTGAACCTTAGACATTTACAAATGGCTTGACTAACTCCTGAACTTGGTATTGTTAACTGAAACCAAGTCATAGGTTGTATAAGACAACATAAAACCTAACAGACCTGTTTCTACAATGCAAGTGGTTTAATACCAGATACACACTAGCATATACCAGCAGAGCAAGGTAATTAAACTGCATTCCATCTTCTATTCAGTGACTTGGGTTTGGTTCTAGAAGTTAAACTCATTCATCAGTATTTTAAAGAATCCTTCACCTATTCCCATTCATGCTTCAACACATGCTTGAACATAAAACTTGCCATAATCCAATCCACCGTGGTTTCAATGAGTTTAATGAGTTTCAACGCATTCCAATGAGTTGACACAAATACAGCCACTTGGCTTTGTAGTCATTTAGAGCTGCAACATCCATTCTGTCGTGGATTCGTGCACTTAGGGAAGTGTTGGGGAGTTATCAAACTAAAGTTCGCAAAGTTGTACCAGTTGAATGCCTCTATTATTGAACAAAAGTGCATAATGCATTTATAAAAGCAAGTCTTCATAGAGATCTATGCTCAGGTCTGGTCAAAGTGGTTTCCATTTTCTGATTTGGTGAGGCAGCTCAAGGCTTTTAGAATGTTCCGTGTCTGCTGCTTGAGAGCCTTCCAACCGTAAGTAGAATATGCAGAATTTCGACCCAACTGATCAATTTCTTATAGTTCAAATTGTAGTTCATTAAAAATAATTCAGTAGATATTCTCAAAGAACATTTAAAAAAATATCTACATCAATACAAATAAGCTTCTGGTTGAAAGTAGTTTTAATTCTTTAATGTGTATTTGATATCGTATACTATTCAACATGAGAGTAGTGCTTAAAAATGTGACTATTTCTAGAGCACAGCAAGGACCTATTTTCATCTTCACCTGCCTCTCCCCCACCATTTTAGTAATGTGAGGGAGATAAGGTATCTCCCTTGTAACAGCAAAAGACAGTCCTCTCAGCTGACACTCTATCATGTGGAGCAGAGAGACAAGCCATTCTGCTCAGCCTGATCAGAATGTCTAACTCACAGACTCTGTGAGCATAATAAAATGGTTGTGTTTTATGTCACTAACTTGGGCTGGCTTGTTAAGCAGCAGTAGATAACTGGAACAGGTTAAATGCCCTTACGAAAGAAGAAGAGAGCAGTTTTGATGAGCTTGACATGCCTGCAAGCTGTCTATGCCAGTATCTAGAGGTGTGAATCTAAAGTTCATGAGGGAAGTTCGGTCTAGAAACATATTTACCAATTATTTGTGTAAAGGTGATAATTGAGAAAGGAAAAGGCGAAGCCATTCAAGGAAGTGCATGCAGTGTAGTAAGAAAACAGTCCAAGACTGAACTGGGGGCAGAGAAGTGAGCTCAGGAAGAGGTGTCAGGAAAGGAGGCCAAGAAGCAGCTCGCTGAGTAAATGGAAGGTGGGAGAAGGATAGTGAAAGGGGCAAGCTGAGTGTGATTGTAGTAAGGGTTAAAACATCACGATAGCTATGTTTCTACATATAGGAAGAAGGTATCAAAATAATGCATGCTCTATACAATACATTTGATAAATCAGGTATTAAGTTCAGATTTTTAGAAATAATTCTAGTCCCTAAATTACCAAGGTCATCTTAGGTACTAAAATTTAGGTAATAAAGTAAAATATTCACTAACATCAGACAGTGTCTCCAGTTTTTCTCAAATTGTGTTTAAATATGAAATTCTTTAAAGGACCAGTAGGTGGAGCACATTTGCTCTAGAAAATCTGATCCTGGGTTGGTTTGGGTTGTTTTTTGGGGGGTGGGGTGGGGCGGAGGGTTGTAGGGGGATGGAGGAAGAGGAAGTGAGAGAAAGACGTGAACAAGAAGGAGGGAGAGAGAAGAGGAGAGGGAGATGGTGTGGGGGGCGGCGAGAGAAGTGGAGAAAAGGCCAGAAAAAAAGGAGGAGGCAGAAAGAAGATGAGAGAACTGTTTGAGGTCAATCCATAGAATTATGGTATTGTTAGAGAGTGTATCTACAAGAGTTATTACATGTTTAATCAAGCACATTTAATTTGACTATGATGTTTATATCTTGTTAAATGTCAAATGGCTTATGTTTTATTTCTCTCTAGTACAGAGAGATTCTCAAGTTGGCAATGTTTGTAATCCCAATAATGTTGAATGTCTAAAGCAGGGGTCTTCATCTGAGTTCCTAGGAAGTTCCTGAACTGTGTGTTCGTTTTTCTTAGAGTCCATAATGTTAATTTGACTCCTCAAAGGACGCATGATCCTGAAAAGATTGAGAACCGCTCATCTAAATTGGGAGGGTGTCTATCCCCAGGGGGTGCATGTGATAATTCAGTAAGGAAAGATAAACATTTTTATGCTTTCAAAAGTTCTATTTTTGTGTGTAATTTAATTATTTGTCCATAGTAAATTAGTACATTAATTCATATATTTAATTCACAAGTAAACAAAGATATTTGGGGGGTACAAAACTAGCAGCACATTCAAAAACTTTCAAAACTTGGTTGTCCAAAAATGTACATTTTTACACTTTTATGGACTAAAAATGAAAGCAGAGAAATTAGAAAGCAGAATATCTTGATAAATCAAAGAAAGAAAACGTAATAACCATAAAGCTGGACTTCTTACCTCTGGCTGGAGTTACAGAAGAGGAAATGGAAACATGCTAATTTCTCATTGGTCTGAGAGGGAACTAATGGATACTGTGTAAAGAAATGGAGAACTAGATGTTAACTAAAGATGTAATAATAGAGGTATTTGCTAGAATAGAAATATACACCAGAATTAGCCACAAAACTCAGAAACATCATATGGAGTGAAAAAAAGCAACCTGTAAAATAATACATATAGTATGGTTCCATTTGTTTAAAATTCAAAAGATGCAAAACTAAGTCATAGACTGTTGTTTCTTTTTGTGGGATTCGAACCGGCAACCTTGCTGTTAAGAGCACACTATCCACTGAGCCATCTGGGTGGCAGCTCAGCTCCAGGTGCTGAGTTCAGTCCGAGCCACAGGTGAGCATAGCCCACCATCGAACAGGCAGTCTTGTCATTAGGAGCACATGCTCTCACCAGCTGAGCCATCCTGCCACCTGTT